ATTTAAAACACAATATGATTCAGCTTTCATTCCCAGGGACCCTCAACCCCACATTCACATTCATACGGCACACATATGCACACACACATGCTCGCCATCATCCTGTTATGCTAAAACATAATGATCTTTTAACACAATCCTAACATTTTGCCTGTGCAGATTCAAATGCTACTTACTGAATATTTAATGTATATATTTTCATAATACATTCATTGCTTAATATAGAATAGCACTATTCAACTGGTGGTCTAAAAGCTGTGGCCCGCATGAGGTTGTCAGTAATTTATCGCAATTTAAAAGGTAATTTAATAAGATTACAGATTATAAATTGAATCAAATGTGGAAAGTGTCCATTTTAGATTTATTTCCTCAAAGACTGTTTTCCTTAAAGGAATAGTTCACCCAAAAATGAAAAGTTGCTGAAAATTTCCTCACCCTCAGGCCATCCAAGATGTGTATGAGTTTGTTTCTTCATGGGAACAGACTTGAAGAAATTTAGCATTGCATCACTTGCTCACCAATGGATCCTCTGCAGTGAATGGGTGCCGTCAGAATAAGAGTCCAACAGCTGATAAAAACAATCCACAAGTAATCCACATGACTCAGTCCATCAATCCACCCCAAGCTGCATGAGAAACAAATCCATCATTAAGATGTTTTTAACTTCAAACCATTGCTTACGGCTAAAATATGCATTGTCTATCCATAATACTGTTTTCTCCAGTGAAAATGTGTCTTGTCTGAATCAGGAGAGAAATATGCACAGATTAAGCAGAGATTTCAAACAAAAACAAGTGCTAAACAGTTCTAAACAAATTTGTCTGTGGATTTTGATGTGAGAGAACAACAGGGGATGGACATTTTCACTGGAAGAGTTATTATGGATTATGGGCTTATTTTTTGGCCAGAAGCAATGGTTTAAAGTTAAAATGCCTTAATTATGAATTTGTTTCTTGCAAACATGCAGCTTTTCACAAGACATTAATTGATGGACTGGAGTCGTGTGGATTACTTGTGAATTATTGTGATGTTTTTATCAGCTTTGGACTCTCATACTGACGGCACCCATTCACTGCAGAGGATCCAATGGTGAGCAAGGCAATACCTAGTTCAACCACTCGGTCTCAATCCTACATACAGCACCTTTAATATTATTAATGGACCTCAGCTAACGTGAACTAACAAGGAACAGTTGTATTTTCATTAACTTAAACAAAAATTCATAAATACTGCCACATATTTTAGAAAAACATGCCTCATGTCCTGCGTCAAACTCACACAATTTGCATGTCCAAATTTTCTGAAATGGTAAACACGTCAAATACGTTTTTGCCTTTTACAGTGTAGACGTGTGATTTCCAAGAACACTTGGGGGAAGTCGTGGCCTAATGGTTAGAGAGTCGAACTCGTAACCCAAAGGTTGCGGGTGGGAGACTTGTACCATTTCGGCAATTGTATTTTCAATTGCAATTGTATTTTCAATTGCAATTGTATTTCGGCGCCAGTTGGTGGAAAACACAGCGTATTTCATTTCATTCATCGTCAAGTGCGATCGTTCCTGTTGGTGTCATCAATCTGGCAACCTGCGTGTGCGTCAAGTCTGAGGAGGAGGGGCCGGGTGAAAAAAACCCTCCCCGGGCGCTGCAGCAAAAAAAAAAGGCTGCCCACTGCTCCGGGTGCGTGTTCACGGTGTGTGTGTGTGTTCACTGCTGTGTGTGTGCACTTTGGATGGGATAAATTCAGAGCACTAATTCCGAGTGGGTCACCATACTTGGCCACACGTCACTTTCATATTTCAGGGATAGTAGGGACATTTTGCTTTGGGCTCCTTTAACTGTAAACATATTCCCTGTTTCTATTACTTTATCTTACACATGACTTTTTGAATGCAAAGTGGGTCTAAGACACAATATCAAACATTTATAGAATGGGTGGGTGGGAGGCGTCTAGCTTTTTAGGATCATACCCTGAAGGAGAGGTCTTAATTGCAAGGGATTAATTTTCCACATTCTGTTTGAAGTTGTGCTCTGTCAAGTATTAAATGGAATAAATTCTCTCATTCCTTGTTGAAATCCATGCCAACCCCAGCCTAACTGCAGAGTGGGGTACATTCCACAGCTGTAGCTGGGATACAGGGGAAGACGAGCTGGATAGCAATGTTATATAATGAGGCACTAAAGCGATTAGCTTCATCTTGGCACATCACACTTTCTTTGAACTCCATCAGAATTACTAGAGGCTTCGCTGACTGAGGTATATAGAGTTGTTGCATCCAGCTATGAATGTTTATTGGATAATAATATACCCGAAAGTATTTAATATTTAAATACCATAGTTAGAGATGCACAAAATATCTGTACTATACTGTTTCTGCCATATACTTGAGATTCTTTTGATTATTGGTATCAGTCAACATTGTATATTTAATTGTTCATGCTCACTTCCTCTGTTTTTGCTTATTAAAACGTTGAATGTAAAGATATTGAGAAGATACAACCAAACTGTATTTACAAAAAACCCTGGTCTCACCTGTGACTGTCTGTCTCCTTGCCTGCCATTAGGATGCTGGGTAATAGGGTCTTCTTGTAAGATGCAGCAGGGTGACCAACATCATAGTTGGAGGGTCGCAGCCCCAAACTGTGGAGTTCTCTTTTCCAGGGATTACCTGACAAGAAACAGATATGGTTTAATCTATTAAATGCTCTAACTTCTTTTCGAGAGCTTTAATTCCTCACGCACCTGTTTTGATGGAGATGAGGTCTCTGTGAAGTCTGTGCTGTTCTCTGATCAGTGTGTTGAGGTGGTAATGTTTAGCCTGGTCGAGTCTCTGCAGACCCTCAGCCAGTCTGGCTTCGGCCCTCCTCTCGTCTCGTCTCTGAGCCTCACCAGGCCATGGCAACCAGTCTCCACGACGCATGCCTGATGATGATTTCATTAATATATTTAACCGATATCACAAAAATTATAAAGCAATACCATAACAAAACACACACACACACACACAACAAGCTAAATTCAGACCAACAGCACAAATGCGAGTATTGCTTTTATACAACAGTTCAGTAAACAAGAAGTTATTAAGTAACTTGCATGTTATACACAATATTGTCAGGTACTTTTCTCCATTTTTGCTCCATCATAGACAATACTTATACTTGTTTGTGTCCGAGTTTCTAAATTAATCATTGTTTTTGAGTGACTCGGTTCAGTGAATGAATCAATGATGTCCCAGCCACTTATTTCAAATCTGAATGATACAGTGTTTTGAAATCAGTCGAGTGATTGTTTCAATGACTCACTCATTGAGAGTCACTTCTTGTAACATGTAACCTGCCAAAAGTACAGTGAAAAATAGTGAAATGTCCCAATACTGTTGGACTAAATATCAGGGCTCTTGGAATGTCTGTCACATGTTCCCGGTTTTGTCTTGTGCTTAGACAATTACAGTGTGGTTCTTGTCTCCGGAGTTTGTGTTTTCAGTTCTTTTTCAGTCTCCATTTCCACTATTGCCTCCTGATGTGCCAGCTCCACTGTAGTCGCCTTCTCAGCTCCATCGCGGTGGTTTCCTGATCCCCAGTGCTCTTCAGCTCTGCCCTGGTGGTCATCTCTGTCGGCACCACCTTTGACTTCTGCTCCACCATGGTCTCTAGCTCTCCTGTGTTTATGTCCTCCACTTCCACCTCACAGGCCTGGAGACCAAGATAAAGCAGGGAACCAAGATGGAGCAGGAGACCACCAAACTGGAGCAGGGGACCCACACAGGGGAGCCATAGAGTCAGAGACCATGGTGGAGCAGATGACAAGGTGGAGCCGATGGAAACAGCCACCAAGGCAGATCCGAAGGCCACTAGGGATCAGTTGACCACCATGGCGGAGCCACAATGGAGCTGGCAGAAAAGGAGACCACAGTGGAACCAGAGTCTATGGCAGAACAGAAGACCACCACAGAGGAGGAGAACTCAGGGGCGGCAGCAAATTAATAAAAAGAAAACAAATCAGGAACAGAATCCATGGGAACTAAAAACACGTATAACTACTGACAACGAAACACAGAGAAACCAGGGCTTAAATACACAGGGGGTAACAAGGAAATGAGGGACACTTGAGGCACAATCAAGGTCAAGGAATCAGAAATTAAACTAAAAAAGGACTACACAGGACACCCAGAAGACAAGGACTACAACATAAAACATCAAACACAAGACAAAACCGGGAACATGCGATGATATCGCTCGACTATAATGGTTGTATATAAAGTCCAAATGTACCAATAATCATAAATTGTGCAAATCATAGTGATCCAGCTAATATGCATACAAAAAAGGTATTGGCTCATTCCTACAGTCTCCACAATTTCTCCTGTTTCTTGTTTCTCCAATATTTCCCTAGTCTGTCTTTCATGAGATGCATCAGTACAGTACACATGCACATAAAAAAAAACACATTCAGACCAAAACATCAGCGACAAATTCATTATTTACAAAATGTCTTTCAAATACATAATCCAAAATATAAACCATGTGTAGGCCAGCACTGCACTGGGGAAAACACATACACCTACATACATAATCAGATCTAGAGCCTGATCATTAATTCAGCATTTATATTGGCAGCTGCCAAAGTGACTCATGTTTCTTCAAGGTCACTGTCAAGGACATAAATGCTCTGTTCCAAAACCTAGTGACCTATCTTATCATAGACATTTAAATGAATATTTATACATTATTAAAGTGTTATGTGATAAAGTTCATTTAATTTAATTAAATCAAATTAAAGACAGTCCTAATTATAAGATACGTAATTTAGCTTTTTCCATCTGTTCTTCTGTTGTAATTGTTAACTAAATCTATTAAAATTGTTTTTGTTCATTTAAATAAATCTGAAATCAAATAAAATATAGATATTTGTGGAAAAACTTTTACAAATTTAATAAAAGTGCTAAAATTACTATAAACCTAAATAAAAATTATATATATAAATATATAT